GAATGATCAAAGCTGAAACATCAGATTGAGAAGCAACCAACCTCTCCAGCAGTGGTTACTATGCGGCGGCAGTAATTGGAAATGATGCTGGCACCACATCTTTTTCAGGTTCAGCAACCAGAACTGTACACGGCATTCTCACAGTGGTCACATCACATATTTGTACAAAGACAGTATGATCTTGGCAGTTTTATTTTCAGCTCCTTTCCTCATTAGGCCTAACTCCATGTTAGGCCTACAGAATCTTCCACAGAAGATTCTGTAATATATTGTACTCACTGTAGCCAAGACAATGGAGAAGCTTTTTGGATGTCCCTATCGCACTATTTCAACTTCATGTGAATCCTTCATCACACCTCTTTTTCTGTGCTGTACAATGGAAGATGGATCATGGTGAGCTGTCACTACTTCACAGCAGCTTGGGCAAGTTCAGGCTGCAGCTGTATGGTGCAGTGCCTACTCTGCATGCAAAAAGTCCCAGGTCACATTGTTGAAATGTTCAGGTGGGCCTGGAAAAACCCTCTCCTGAAATCCTGGAGAGCAGCTTTCAGTCAGTGTCAAGTGTACTGGATTATATGGACCAAAGAAATGACTCATTGTAAGGCAGTTTCTATATTTGCTTAATATGCAAGATTACATAAGAGCAATCTTATGTGATTTAGGCAGAAAAAAGTCCCACTATTGGCAACATGCCAACAATAAAGAGCCTTAATAATAAAATACAGATTAAACCCAAATTCTGAATTAAAACATGAGAACAATTACACCTTTGAAAGATTGAAATACACAACACTCAAAGAAATCAACAGCACCAACCAATTTTCTGTTTACATCCCATAAAGGGACGATGTTATTGCTGCCATGACAAACTTTGTCCTCCTGGTATCTAAAATTCGAATTAATGCTAACTAACTTCTCATGAACTATGTGCAAAGACAAATAGGTTTCATGATTACGAATTCTTGTTTTTAATGTTCTGTGTGTTTAAATTCCATGAAAGATGACCTTGTTGACCATGATGAACTTTGCTCTTTTAGCTACTAAACTCAAGAGAACATCTTACCTCCTAGGCAGAATGACAATCCAGTTTTGTTGATTATTATTGTAACAATAAGCATTGTCTTCATCGAATTAAAACTGCTGAGCAATAGACTAGCATACGTGCAAGACACCTGCCTGAATAAAAACGACTTTGCCTATTGATGGTAAAACAAAGAAAGGGCCAACCTAGCTTTCTCTGGCAGGGACTCTCATAGTTTCCTTCTCACTGAGAAGGTCTTCTTTTTGCATCCACATCAAACCTGCCTCAGATGGTCGTGGTACTGAGAGATGGACTTCCCTTGAATCTTAAAAGCTGGACAATTCCCTTTAGTTAGCTCCAGACTACAGACTTGTTGCAGCATTTTGGACTGGCTGAAGTTTCCGAACAGTTCTCTCAAAGGCAGCTTCAAATAAAGAATGTTGCAATGCTTCCTCCCTATGTACAGAAGTGTAAGCTGGACTGTGAAGAAAGCTTACAGGGAGAAAATTGATGCATTTGAGACGCGGTGGTCGGGCAAACCTTTGCGAATGCCCTGGATTGACAGAAAGATGGACAAGTGGCTCCTAGAGCAGATCAAGCCAGAACTTGCCTTGGAAGCAAAAATGGCAAAGTTGAGGCTGTCAGACTTTAGGCACATCATGAGAAGGTGCGACTCACTGGAAGACAACCATGTTAGCGAAAGCTGAAGGCAGGAGGGAAAGAGGAACATCAATGATGAGATGGACTGAGTCGCTAAAGGAAGCCACAGCCTTGACAGGACCATTTGAAGATATTCATTCCTAGGGTTGCCATAAGTTGGAGATGACTTGGCATCTCCAACCTTGACTAACAACAAAACCAGTTCCTTACAGTTCTGATCTTTACACTGGAAAAAAATGTGATAAGCTTCCACATAACCACAGGATTTTTCAGAATGCCATCTGAAAATCATTGGTTTACTACAAGATGCACATACACGCATACATTTGACCATCTTATGGTCTGCAGTTTTAATACTATATGCCATCACTTTATTAGGCTTTATACTTGCACCAAGTTTCTTTGCATGCATGCTATTGCTACTGGAAATAATGCAGTTTCAAGATGATACAACAGCAGCCAAAATCGAATTAGCAATAAGTTTGGTGATTATTATTATTATTATTATTTATTTACTTTTGGAGCTTTAATCTTTCCAAAGTGCATGACCTGTTTCCACCAAAAAGAAATCAGAAGAGAATCTGATGGAGCTTAAGAATAGCTTTTCATATTATATTTTGTAGAAAGACACAGATACTTGAGTATCAAAGGCATATATACTATATGGCTCAATCAGAACTAAACAAAATCAGTACTTTAGTCTAAAATACATGGAGGGCAGTGCCTGAAAAAAGACCCATTCACCACTTCTGGGTATTTTAAAGGCAAAGGGGAACTGTATACCCATATACATGTCCTGAGTGATGTAGTTTGAATGCATATCGTGTTGGATATCTGCAGCTGAAGGATGCATTCTAAGGATCTGTCCAGTATCAAAAATTCAAATCTAGCAGCATTCATTGGGGTTCCATGAATGGAAGGCAGATAATGCAACAAATCTTTCTCTTCCCTCCACCTCTGCAACCCCTTGACACCCCCCTCCAAAAACCCCCTCCACTATGGTGCTGGTGGTCCTCCAAACCTGGGTGGTTTGTGTCACAGAATTGCAATGGGAGAAAAAGAGTCATCCAGTACCAGACAAAGCAATCGTGTGCCGGAGCCAGGTCCCTTTGTCAGTTTTTGTGTGACACCTGCCTCCCAATGCAGTTCCATGCAACCAGGGTAATGCAGGGAGGGTTGTGCTTCTCTGAAGGCGGGAGATGTTGCCCAGGGTTTGTGGCAGGAAGGAGAGAAGAACTGTAGAAGGTGCCTTTTGCTCACTCAACCACTGGCTAGAACTCATTGACTACAAATGGTAGCACAGCGTATTAAAAATTGTATTAAAAAAGACAAGGCAATGTAAAGGTCCCAAAGTGAAGGGCTCTTGCCCAGAAAAATGAATTGCAAATGTATTGTTATTGTAATTGTATTGTTACTGTAAGCCGTCCCAAGACGATCTGTAGGGGACGGGATAGAAAAGCTTTAAAAATAAAATGAATAAAATTAAGCACAGAACAGCTTAGTTGGGACTATTTTCCTCCCACCACTTTACAGCTAGGAAGAAAGAACAGGTACTATCTCAACCAGTTAGAAGGGAGTAAGGGAGGTAAAGAAGTGCTTCCCTAGAACATGTGACGTCATCTTTTACTCATGTATCCATATTTCCCAATATTTTCTGTTCTGACTGGCAGCAACTCTAGCCAGAGACGCTGCATAATGCTGCTGCCTGAAATCCTAAAATCCTGAAGTTGCCATGGACAGAACCTGAGTCTTCCTACAAGTAAAGCATGAGCTCAACTGCTAAGGTTTGGGTTGTGCCATGGACTCTTCTGGAAAGTTCTTTTGACAGCAGATGCCACCCATTTTCTCTCATGGCTTCTCCCAGTACAAATGCATTTCTAGTCCCTCAGTCATGCAACTCCTGGCTTAAGGACAAAGCAAACATCTCCTCCATCATGAGTTACTTTCTTGTTCAAGATACACACACATATTGCAAGGTGAAAGAACGTGCTCCCAAATGTCTACCACAGAAATACTTTTCCGAGTCATCACATATGATCATGAGGAACACGGGCATTTAGCAAGCAGGCTGATTTGGTCTCATCAAGGTGGAGCGTTTGACTCAGCATACCTTCTATGGAATCGCATCACAGACAGTGCAGAGATAGTGGTTTGGAGACGTTATCACAATTATTCAAAACTAACGATGGGCTCTACTGAAAACAAAGTCAACATTTTCATATCTGTGAGAAATGTTTACAGTTAAATGGGGGGAAAAGAAGAAACATATCACTAAACAATAAACCTAAAAGCTAGCACTCTGCTAGCACTCTGCAGATATAAGAGGTGGCTGGTGTATCTGGTATATTTTGTTTACTAAGCCACCAATGTACAGACTGGGGCAAAAGAAAGGGGGACACACTTGACAGAGCTAAATAAGGAAGCTCTCCAGATAATTGAGGTTTGCATAATGAGGTGACACCTTCACGCATTTTTGTCTATTATTTAGGGCAGCTGACAAATAAATCCATGCAATTTACTTTAAAAAGAGGGCTGAATTTAGCTGCTATCAAACCAATAATACTTGAAACAGACATATACAAAGACAACAAAACTTTTAAACCTGCTATATTTCACTCATGCCAAAAGGTATTTTTCTTTGTATATCAACAGGAGATATACCTGTTTTCAAGAGATTTGGCAACACTCCATCCAAATAGTCCAGGCAAACAGTACATTCATTTTGGCAGCGTTCCAATCAAATACTATATTTATGCATATATAAATAATATAAATGTATTACACATCTAACCTTTGCTATAGGCAATGTTGACATAATCCAACCTTCCTCAGCCAAGTACCCCTAGATATGTTGGACCACAACTCATCCCCAGATGGCATAAACTGTGATGGTATTGGCTGGGATGATGGAAGTTGTAGTCATCTGGAGGGCACCAGGTCAGAGAAGACTGGTATAATCCTTACAGACTCAAGTGTACCATTTCTTCCTAATCTTCCAGCCATTACTTCAGTTTGCTATGAAAAATCCTCTATGGTTGTGTCAATAAAAATATATCAAATGTAGAAAGTCATGCCACTATCTATCTCCCTTTCTCTTACAACTCATACCAAATCACAATCACAATATGTATGTTGAGAAAGGAAAAAAACAACAGACGCCATAGAACTGAATGGGTTTTTTCAATCCTTTTTGATGCCAAATACGACGGGGAACAAACAGGGCAATGGAATCAAAAGCTTGAAGCACCATATTCCTTCTCATCTGATCAATATACACATATCCTATCCATGAGAGGGAAAGAACTTGCTTTAAATTTACCTTGGCAGCTACAGAAGAATTGGGCTTCTCCAGAAGGTCCCAGAGTTTTTTCCTCTTCTCGGCACAGCAGGTGTTGTCAAACTCCTCTCCTTCCCTCTCCCGCATTGTTTCTGCTTCTCTCTTGAGCTCCTCATTCATCTGCTCCTTTTTCTGGTGGTACCTTGCCTGGCAACAGGACTCCAGATAGATCTCATCAATCCCCCAATAGTCCAGTTCTTGGCTGAAGGACAAGGCACACATTTCCTCCATCATGTGCAGCTTGCCTGTGCGATAAAAGTTTAAAATAGAAGTAAATGCCCCTGGGTGCCTATCAAAGAAATACTCATTCTCCTCTAAGTTGTAGTCATCACATATATCCATCAGGGATTCATGGGTGTTGCAGTCTCGGAGCTTACCCAACCTAGTCCGTGGTAGCCTGTCCAAAGTCCTCCATAAAACCTCATGGGCCAAGCCACCCACATTAAGCTTGACCCTTCTGGAGCAGGCCTTGCTCCTGACAATTTCCATGGGATCCGGAGGCAAAGAGGTAGTAGATCGAGATCCATGCTTGTTCATTCCTGCAGGCATTGCTTGTCTCTGTAAGGCTGGAGCAGGGTTATGGTAGCTTCCAGGGTATTCAAACTTCTGAGCAGGATCTCTTCAGCTGTTCTCTGTGTCCTCCATACCTGCAAGAAAAATAATCCATAGAACCAATGTTGACTTCCTAGAATCAATGGAGAACCTCTTCCTTTGCTTGTGGACTGTCTTCTGGATCAATTAATTAGGCAGACCTGCAAGTAGCCCTGTTCTGCTCCGAAAGCAACAGGAACAGCCAGAGCACAGGTCGCTGTTCAGCTTCATGGTGCTGAAACTGAAGAGAGACTCACAAGGGGAAGTTCACAGAGGGATGTGAGGGGGGTGGGGGGTGTTTGTGCCAGCTTTTTTGCCACTAGGCTAACAAGATGTTAGTGTGGTCTTCACTAGCTCCATACTTGAAAGGAACCTATTCTAGTGGGACCCAGTGTACTTTCCACAGCTTTAAGTACTGAACAAGGTTTCCTAACGCTTGCGATCCCCTGGCATTAGCTTTGTGTGTTGGTGGGACAGATGAAAAATCTGTTCATGGCAGCATCATTCTGAATTAATTTTTGCTCTTCTTTCAATAATGTGCATTCCATAACCTCTTCACCTCTACCCACATTCAATTTTGCCTGAATTTTACTTAGCTTTGTTGTTATTTGTTGCACAACTGATATCTCTAAACAAAAAGCAGACAACATGGTACCTTCCAGATGTTTTGGACAACAATTCCCATAATCCCTAACAATTTCTGGTTGGGACTGATGAGTGCAGCTCATCATATGGACGATTTGGTATGTTTTATATTGGCCAACCACACAAAGCCCTTGCTTATAATTTTAGAAAGCAATATTTTCAATGCTTTGGACATTTAAAAGCATTGTTTTCACTTAGGTAAAACACATACACAGGGATAGACGTCCAGGCAAAGGGCTTGATTTTTGGTGTGGTAAAAAGTTTGATCTTGTTGCACAGAACAAATTATTTCATACAATCATAACAGGCTTTGTTTTTAAAGGGATAGGCAGGAAATTAGATTTGTGTTCTTCCCTACTCCGACTTAAATTAGCAACTGAGATGATTTGGCTCCTAGTTTTTTTCTAGAAAGGCTGAGTACATGTGAACGCTGCTTTCCACATAAACCATGTGAATCAAACGAAAAGAGAAATTTGCTGAGGAACCAGCAAGATGCCCACTCTCGAACAAAAACACAAACATTTCATATACATTCTTCTAATGCATATGAAGGCATGCTACACACAATGTTATCCATGAGAGATGGAAGAGTGCAAGAGAAACAAATGGGAAGCGAATAAAAGGCATCATGCATTCATGTGCAGTTTTTTTAAAAAAGCACCTAGCAATAGCACATCCATGATGAAACGGAGCTTCTACGGAACCCACTGCTTTGAAGTAAATTCAGCTACTGTCAATGGGTTGGATCCAGATATAGTCATACTTAGAACAGACTATTTGAAAATAATGGGGCAGATTACTCAGGACTTCATTGAGTCCCGTTGATTTCTACATGTCTTCTTTATGTATATCTTTCATGCCTGAAACATAAGCATGTAATTTGTATGCACTGTCTCTAAAATTTCAAAGCATTCCTTGTTTCATGTGCTTTTTTATGTGCATCCCCCTGGTTTTCGCTATTCTGCCAAAGGGCTGAACTACTTTGAAAGAGCAAACGTGATGTATTCTTTCTTAGCTATTTAGAGACATACGAATACTTCCACTCTAGGCCCCTCATGTGTGCTTCTGATCTGTTACCTATTTATAAATCAAACGCAGAGGTGTCAGGCTGAGCATTTTACATGTACACACCTAATAATACATCCTGTATTAGAAAATGCAGCCTTCAATAGAGGCAGTTGAGGGTAGAGCAAGACCAAATTATTTTGACAGCATAATATTTCTGTATCCTGGAAGAGAGAGATTTTTGCAAAGCAATGGCAGTCTAGTTACAGGTAAAACAAAGCTTTTAATGGCAACCAATCTTTTTGCCCTCCTCTAAGCCCTGATGATGCTGATACACCAAAGAAGAGAGTGGGGGACGGTCACTTGGAGGGTGGTCTACAAATGGACTAATGGGCCTACAGAGATCTCATGCTACAGGAGATGACATCAGCAGGGGTCTTGAGGAAGGAGGGAAGAACGGACCTTTCAGCATCTTTCACCGATAAATCTCTCTGGTGCAATGAGCAGAGCAAGGAAGCCAGACTTGTTTTGATTTATTTATGCCAGCTACTGGGGTGTGGGTGGCAAGGGGGAGGGGGGAAGCAAAGTTTAAACCACGCCATTTAAGTCAATTAGAGGTTGCATCTGCGGAGATTTGAGGAAAGAAAAACAAACAAGATGCAAAATTTGCTTCTAATGAGTCCCAGGCTTGCTTTATTTATTTAATTAACTTAATGACATGTATATCCTGTCTATACGAAACAGATCTCAAGCCAGATTCTAAACATCCCTGTGCAAGCTGGGTGCTGAGGTTGTACAAGGGTTAGTTCAATTCTTTCAAGCAGCACCCTGGTGCTGTGCTGCTTGTCTCGGTCCATGAAAAAGGGAGATGGTGCTTTCAGGTGGAGGAAGGCTCCTACAACTAGCAAAGAAAGGGCTCTGTGCAGCTACTTCGTTTTTAATTCCTTAGCTCTTTTTTTTTTTTTTTTTTTTTGGCCCCCTGCTCAAAAAGGGCGAGGGAAAACAAGGCGAAAACGCTGGAGTGTGACAAGCTGACGCCAACATCAGGGCGCGTGCCCAATAAAAGCCTCTTCTGGAAGCACCCAGGGATGTCCCCGCGTGTGTACGTGTGAATAGTGGTAAGATCCAGAAGCGGAGTTTCTAACCTAACTGAACAGAAGGAATCATCTCGTCTGCTTCCAAGTCTTCGTTATTTTTAAGGCGTGGGGTGTGCTCCCTCCTTTCTGGGGATGCTTCCTCCTTTCGTTCCTTCCTCCACCAACCCCATACTTCAGAGGGGTCGTCATAACAACAGCCGCCCTCCCTCCACCCCAGCCCCCAGAAACAGCTGCCTCGCGAGCAGCCCTCCTCGCACTGTTGCTTACACAAGATGGCACAGAAGCCCTCCCCAGCCGAGGAGACGCGCCACCGTCCCTTCCCTCATGCACGCTGCGCGCGAGATCATGCCAGGATTTCAGCGGGTGCGTGTGGCGGGGAGAGAGCCAGGGAGCCCGCTCGAAGAGCACGGCCCTCCGGCAGCCACCTCCGACCCCAGCCCCCAGCCCAGCCTGCGCGCAAGCCCAGTTGCGCGCCGCAAGCCCGTGCGCGGAGGAGAGCGCGCGGCGGCGCACTCCGCGGCGAGCGACCTCGGGCTTGCCCGGCGACCCCCCCGCGCCGCCGCGCCGCCTGCCTCCTCTTCCTCCGCGTCCCCCGCGCTCCATACCTCCTCAGCCTGACTGCCTCAGCTGCGATGCCAGGGAGACGCCGAAAGGAGCTCTAGGCGGAGAGGAGGACATCGGTCGGGTAGCTACATCACGCTCCGGGAGAGGCGAGGCGAGGCGTCACAGGCATCTTTCCTTGCGAGCCGCTCGGGGGGCGGGCTGGGGGGCGGGCGGGAGAACGGCGCGGGGAGGGCGGGAGACTCCTTGAAACGGAGCCCCAGGATGGCCGAGCACCCCACTGCTGGAGGGGAGGCTGGGAAGGCGAGCCAGGCGCTCCAAAGCGCTCAGATCGTTCCCGGATTAGAGTGCATTGTTGCAAGAAGCGTCTCCAAGGCCCTCCTGTGGATCTCTGCCTCTGTCTCTTTCTAATTCCCCAAGCTCCACCTTCAAATCCGCCGAATCCCAAAATGGGGCTTGGACCCAGTTGGAGTAAAAGGGCAGGACACCGCAAAAAGAAAACGCCTCCCGCTCGTTCGCTCTCCTTTCTCCCTTGGCTTATTCTTGACGGAGATCAACAAGTCCAGTCTGCGCCTCCGGCTTTCCCCTGCGATTCTGTCCCAGAGTTTGGTGAAGAGAGAATTCGAAGTTGGATGGAAGAGGAGGAGGAGGAAGACGAGTATAAGAAAACAGCTCCACCTTGAGTCCTGATGCGGTATTACAGGCACAGCGAGCACACTGGGGCCCTTCCTCCCCTCACGGCTAAAAGGAAGGAAGGAAACAAGACCAGAAGAAATCGCCTACGGAGGCGCCCGCAGATGCTGAAGAGGGAAATGGTGCAGTAACTTTTTTCAACAGGAGGTTGAGCAGCTTGTGGCTCTGCAGATGTTTTGCGGGTTTCCTACAACTCCTGTCTCCTTTGGCTGTGCTGATGAGTGTTGCAGACTTCAAATTCAATGCAACCCAATGCATGATTACCTGGGAGAAAAGCCTATTGAACCCCACAGGACTCAGTTTTGAGTAAACAGTCACTAAAAAGCAATCACGGTCTTCATATTGGAGCTTTTTCATCATGTCCAGAATATTTCCTTTCGCTCACGTCCACCTGCCACTGTATGTTCATGTGCTTTGCTTAGCACTCAGTCTGATCAAGAGTTCTGGTGAATTCAAATGCTTGCTGATTTCTTTGCACTGCTTAGATGGCCCTCATACAGGCATCCTGTCCATAAGGCTCTGAGTACCTTCTTCAATCCAAAGGCCACATTTCAATCTGGGGAAGGTGTCATTCTGTGCGTGGGTGGAGCCTAATGCAGGTGGGTGTGGCCAGAGGCAAATTGGGCAGGGTCAAAGATGAGTCTTCCTGTTTTAGAGCCTGCTTGAGTGAACCAAACATGTCTTTGCATGGCTGCTCGGAAGTAAGTGTGAGAAGTAAGCCTGCTCATGAGTAAACAGGAAACCTGCCTCTTGTCCCAGAGTGCCAGTTCCTACATAGCCAAACTGGAGTCATCATTTTACACAAATGGGAGGTGTAAGCAGGGTTGGGTTGGCAGAAGATCAAAAGACCCTAAGAATGAATTTCCCAAACAACCCAATACAAATTAAGCTTGGCTTGAGGCCACAGAATTCTGGCTGGTAGTAGAGGCGAGAGGAATGGAGTGGAATACCCTGGATGCAGGCATGGGGGGCTGAAAAGTTCAAAAGAAGCTTTCCATACTGCAATATGGTTGTCGCAAGCCCTGTTGTTACCCTGTTTTCTTCTCATGGAACATTGCATCTACCTGCAATGCCAGGCTCACTGAAATGATTCTGTTCCAGAAAGTCAACCATCTCAATATTTCCGAAATGAAATCTATAAAAATACCCTACCTCAATCAGGTATTTTATATCATATGATTACTTCTTAATAGCTGGTGGAATGTGCTGTTTCTACTACTGTCAGATTTATAGATGCCACAACCGAACAGGAGACAGTTTTCACAAAAGTGCTTAACTCAGTCTCCCTGCTCACCCTATTTCCTTCATCTGTAAATGGAAGGAAAAATAGATCACTAGCATTTGATGTTTAAATGCCTCTCATTTCTGATACCACACTAAAAACATTAAGCCATGGTGGTTTCTGGGTATAACATGGCATTCATTGTAAAAAATCCCACAAAGGAGCTTTGAATGACAATGTCTATTCACAGCTGGGGAATGTTTCTGGATGCAGCCTTGATCATACTGGATGGTCTGATCACCAACAGCTGCCCAGCCTAAATGGGTGGACTGCAAGCTATAGAGAAAGGAGAAAGCGGACCTGGCCTGGATGATACATGCATGCACAGAAGCATCATGGTCGATGTGTTCTGCTTGTAGGAGCCTGTGAAAAACATCCAGAAACCTCAGAGGTGACAACATTCAGTCGTAAAAATCAGCCTCTCCCAACCTGTTACTCTCCAGTATTGGCTATGACTGCCAGAAGCCTCCATTCCATGAATCAACCCCAGGGGGTGCTGGTTCATCACCAGGGTTTAATTAAGGTTAAGGTGCACTTGGCAGCGCAGTTGATTGAAGTTCCACTTGGCTTGTTTCCTCCAATATGATCTTGTCAGTCCACTTAGGTCAGCTGGAGAGGCCCTTTTGAGGATCCTGCCTCCTTTGGTAAGAGTCCTATCTGTTGTGGAACTGGGGAACTCCCTGTTCCAGACAATTCAAATACCAGCCCAATCCCACCCCATTTGCAATCCAATTTTTGTATGTTTCTTCTGCCACATCTGTTGGAGGATGAGTTTATGATTTCAGGCTATGCTCTTTTGTTATTTTTCTCTGCCTCCTCTGTCTATTTTTTGAATCATATTTTAACTGGTTTGTTGGTAAGTGCCTTGGATGTTAACTGGATATAAATTACTTATATGAAAGTAATAATCATGGAACTAATTATTTATTTTGCATTACTGTCCACTGATCCCCCCGTTATGTGTCATCAAGTTGACTCTGACTTACGGCAACCGTATGAATGGATGCCCTCTAAAATGTTCTGTTCTCAGTAGCCCCGGCCAGCTCTTGTAAGTTCAGGGCCTTGGCTTCCTTTATGGAATCGATCCTTCTCATATTTAGTCTTCCTCTTCTATGCCTTTGTCATTGCCTCGCATTGTTGTCTTGCCTTCTCATGATATCCTCAAAGTATCAGTTTCATCATTTTTGCTTTCAGGGAAAATTCTAACTTGATTTAATCGGGAACACACTTGTTCATCTTTCTGTCAGGCTGGGATATTCATACAGCTGTCCCCCATCACTATGTTCTGAACACATCAGTTTTCTTTCTATCAGCTCACTCTTCCTCACAGCAGTAACTGTGATGTCTCCTTTCCCCATTTTGTTCTCCCAAGACCCCATCAGGCAGGTTAGTCTGCAAGGATGATGATTATCTGGGGAGCATTGTAACTGGCTGGGGAGTCCCATCCAAATTCCATGATAGCCATGTGGGAAGGACCCACTGCTTTGTCTAAATACAGAAGTCATGCCTTGTAGCCCTCAGGAACCTTTTTCTGGGAAAGAAAATCCTACAATTAATAGCTGTCAGCAGGACATTACTTCCATGTAAGGCAGGGCTGCCATTAAGAGTAGGTTTTGTTGGGAATCTGTCCAGGTGCCCCATGCCAGCAGGAGCCCAATGACCAGAGCCACCTGGAGTTGCTTCTCCTCTTCCCCATTGCAGACTCTTCACCTGCCTCTCGCTCTGCCCCAGGCTGTGGTGGTGATGCTGGGGAGAAGCAGCAATGGCACTGACGGGCAGCTCACTGGCTCTGTGGCCACTGAGGAGATGGTCCATTGAGGAGAGGAGCGGGAGCAGCTGGTAGTAGTTGGAAGGGCATCCAAGTGTCTTGCCCAAGAGGCTCCCAAAACCCGCAGCTGGTGTTGACACAAGGATGCTAAACTGAGGATTGCAATGCAAAGACTGGAGCTTGGGCTGCTGGCTGGTGGAAAGCTCCTGCGAAGAATGGGATGTTGTTTGTCATCACACTGCCTTGCTTTCAGAGAGCTACCGGAGAAGCACAGTGGGGTAGTGGCAACTTTTGAAGTGCAGGTGGTCGTCATGGTAGTGTCTATAACCCACCCCCACCAGGAGATCCACAGTGGCACTTCGTTGGGTTGAGCCATGTCAGTCGATAAGTTCTAGTGGTTTCTGCTGCTGTTGCTACTACTATTATTAAATCGGATTATCTTTTGCCTCTATTTATATCCCGTGTTCCCCCAGCAATCAGGTCTCAAGGTGGCCCACAACATAAAAACATTCAAAAATATACAAAAGTCACGAACATAATTTAATCAATTTAAATATTAAAATTGAACAAACATGCCATTTTAAAAAAAATCTATAAATAATATAAAAAGTAAAACCAATCCAGCACAAACTCAGTGGCCCAGCCCATTCCCTAATGCTTGCTGGGAAAAAAGGGTTTGCCTGCTTTTGGAAACCTGCCAGGGAGGGTACCAGCCTAGCCTTCCTAGGAAGGGAATTCCAGAGCTTTGGGGCCGCCACTGAGAAGGCCCGCTCCTGCATCCCCTGAAAGCATGCCTATGAGGGTGGTGGGCACAAGGGAAGCGCCTCCCCCGAAAATCTTAGCCCCTGGGCAGGCTCATACAGGGAATATCTGACTTTCAGACAGACTGGACCCAAGATGGTAGAATGCAGTCTTTTGTAAAGCTGATTGGTTTTAATTTCCCGTTCAAGACCAGGTCACCTGCAAAAGGCGCCCACTGTGCAAGAACGAGGTTCAGGACCAGGTTTCCTATGGGGTGGGTTGAATGGCTCTAAGGTGAAAGGAGAGCTGGTGCTGGCATGACCGCTTGTTGCTACCAGGAAGAATCATTTCCTTCCAGCAACCGTGAGGATCACTCAGAGGGAACAGAGAAGTCCAAGGAGGGTACCAGAGGATGCCAGCAACCCTGCTAATAAAAGGTGCCAGTGTCCTGACCCTATGAATCCTGTCTCCACTACAGCACTAGCACTAGTGGTGTATATGGATGGAGCATCCTCAGAAATACCTTGTAAAGATGAGTGTGTGTGTGTGTGAGTGTGTGTGTGACAGAGAGAGAGGGTGGGGGGGGAGCTCAAGGCACTCACAGGATTTCTTTCTCTGTCTC